TAAATCGCCTTTGACAGTTATAATAAAACACAAGAACTTCTTGTGTTTGAACCAGCTTCTCGTCTCTTAACTTGCAAATTTGGGCGGTAAGAATAAAGAACGTTTGTAATTTTATCCCAAGTAGTATCATATAACGAGACTGAACTACAATTTTGGCGCAAAACTTGAAAGTTATCGCGAGATACGCGCACTGATTCCTTGAAGCTCTTCAAGGTTTTGTTCTCTAACAATGGTAGCACTCGATAACGAACTAAGTGTATTCGTGTGAAACGAAAATGTTTGTCATTTTTTAATTGTGGATTTGCAAGAATTGCTGTAAAGGAGAGCTTTCATAAGGTTGGAAGTGCTTCGGTTAAAACTGACCCTAGTGTAAAGTGGAAGAACTATCTTGCAGCGTTCGAGGGTGACAGTCAAGAAGTCTTTGCAGTCGAACGTTCCACCTACGTCGAGAAATCCAAAGCAATTTGCAGCTCTTTCCGAAAGATGAACTCAAAAGCCAGGGCCCAGTACCAAGACACGTTTTCAATGCTAAACTGGAAAGCTCTTAATACAGTGCAGAAGAAACAGCACACACTGTCAAATTGTGGAGGTTGTCAAGGGCACTATTATGCCATCCATAATATTTTCCCCAGGAGAGAAACTTTCAAAACCCGAAAACTTTTAAAAGAGGTCCTTATTGAAAGTGGGGTGAAGACACAAAGTAAAGTGAAACCAACGCAAAAAGTCATTAAAACTGCTGTAAAACACATTTATTCAAAAGTGAATGGCCACTTTGAGAAAATATTTAAAGTAAGCTTTGCTGAAGCACAAAAGTGAAGAAACTTCAGCTCCAAAAAAAGAAAGACGCAGTTGAGAAAAAGCGGCAGCGTCGAGAGAGAGCACACCAAGAAAAAAGTAAAATCCAATGCTAATGTCTAATCCATCTGGAGGAGGAGTAATGTTTCTAATTACTTTGCAGTAATTTGCATGCCAGACAATGAGATCAACAATTTTCACCTTTACTTGTGTTGCAATCTAGCATTTATTTAAGCACACTCTCTATAATATATTTGCCTTCATTTTCCAGTTTTTTAAAAGGAATGCAAGTACCAAATATTCTACTGTAAACTTAATCAATCATACTGAACTTCTTCCAACCAATGGAGAGAATATAATACTGGGAGAAGGATCCTATGGTCGATGCCTTCTGAGACAGTACACACGATTTGATATAAAGGTTGTGGAAAAACAGTCTCTGATGCAGGACACCACAGAGATAATGAAGGAGGCTCACATTATGCAGGCATTCCCACATAAAAATATCCCAACCATAATAGGTGTGCAGCTTCAAAAGCAGCCATTTCTTTAATAATGGAGTTTAAAGGGGAAGACAATACATCTGTGTGACTTTAGTGGAGTCACAGGATAGCGAGTGACCAGGAGCATAAAACGAACGCACAAACAACAGACGTATAACAAAGTTTTCCAACCAACTTACAAATTTATTCTTACGATAATCGACGGTAGCGAAGATACGTAGCGATGGCAATACAATTTGATGTGATGTGGTTCGAACTAAAAGGAAATTAAAAATAAACCTATGTAACTTACATTGTACCGTATATCGATTGTGCATAACGACAATGAAATCAACTAAGCCTTTATCTAATAGAAACCGATGTAAACAGAGTAACGAAATCATGCGACAATTATAACAAGTAAAAAAGACTTACTTTGGTTTAGCTCCTAGCTTGATAGCATTTAATCCAATGATAGCGACAATAGCGAGATAGCTTGCTCTTAAATAGCGAAGATGTAAACTCGTTGTACCACGATAGCATGTGACTTTCGCAAGAAACCCGTAACCTGATAAGTACACGTGTAATATAATAGCTACAGCTACTGGAAAACGTGATCAAATGTTAACACTACAACTTTACGTAATCAATCGA